CAAGTTCGATTTCAAATGTAGGCGCGCGGTGTGCGCTAATGATGGAAGCAACGGTCGCGGTGCGACGCGCTCTTTTTTTTCCAAGTGCGTCCACGCCGCATCGAGATACAAACATATAGTGTATAAAAACATAAAAACCGAAACAAGTAGCGTTCTAACTGAATGAATACAGCTAAACTACCTATATCCCTCACTGAGCACGAAGCAGCAGCGCAGCCACAGGTGCGAACCGAGTGTTCTATGTGTGCGCTAAACTGTGGCGCTGTGCCTAAATTAAAGCATTTAAAGTTGGGGATAAACCATAGGCTAATTATATTTAGAATACAGTAATATTTAACTGCTTATAAAGGAATAAATATCAAGGAGTAAATCATTGAAAATTTCTTTCTATTGGTAAAAAAAATAAATGCAACTGGTCGACCAATAAGAATGTCAGTCGACCAAGACGGCATCGACCGATTAGTCGACTAAACGACTAAAGTTGACAGCCCTAGTTCCTATGGTACGAAAACACATCTAAAAGGCGTTCTAAAAGAGCTAATGGCTAAAAGCTTTATGATTGCATTATAACACGTCATAAAATCGTAATAAACTGAACATGGAGGAAGGAATGACGGCAAAATTCCAAAAGCAACACCTACGTAGGCCACGGCATCCATCATGTTGCTACCACGGCACAAGCTGTTCTGCGGACACAGTATCGCCACACAGGAACACATTTACGGATGCGAGTAAACATAGGCTTGGGAACACGGCCCCTTCACTATGGTCTGTTATGCAGATAAACAATTAGAAGACCTCTCTGTTTGCGGACATAAAAAGCAGAGAGAGGCTCCATGAAGCAGGGGCTCCAGATTGATTTGTTTGCACTGTGGCCATGCCGTAGACTTTAATGCAACCAAAGCTCCTGCCTCCTCTACACGGGCACCCCTCGCAACCATAAAACAACCGCATTGCAAACACCATTGAAGACTCAACCCTGTCTCTAGCAGCCCTCGCAAAGACCTGGAAGTACAGAGACGTTTTTACGAAAACTTTTATTAGGCTGAACACCCATCATAAAATGAAATTGCAGACGTGTTCCTCAGAAACATGACATCAGCATTGAGAAAGCATTTTCTTCTTGGAGATATGTGACGATACTTAGCGCACTTATCATACTTGAAGTAAGGACATATATGAAAGATAAGTGCAAAAGGCTGTGTGTGTGTTCAGTTATAATGTTTGGTTAAGCTGTCCCTAATCATAAGCATTCTTTTATGAACTTCCATGAGTAATAATAAAAGCACTGTCAGAGCAATTTAGATATTTACGCAAGACAGGCAGATCCATTTAAAGTTGAATGTTGAATATTCCTACTTGCTCCTTTTAAACTTCAGACCACATAGCGCTCCGTTGTCTGATGCTCTGAAGATGACATATACATACACTCCCATTAAAAAGTTTGGGGTCAATACAATAGAAAATAGTTATTTTAAAATTTTAATGAGATTTCTGTATTCTAGATCAATAAATGCAGCCTTGGTAGTAAGCATAAAAGACTTTAAAAAAAAAAAAAAATCATAAAAAAAGCATGCGGTTCCCAAGCTTTTAAACGGCAGTGTACATCTTGGCAAGCACAATGTCAATGCTTTTCAAAGCTGGTATATTCCTGGAATAAATCACATATTCAGGTTATCTTATTTTGAATATTGGCCATAACTAAACATACATTTTGATACTCAACATAGATATTCAAGCAGACTAGTATTAGATGTTAATCTCAAAGATGGTGACGTCCATGTGAGCATCCCTATGCCCTATTGACTCCGAAGGTCAGAGCCCTAAAAGTGGGGACTTTGAGGGAGCAGGGCACTTGTCTGTCATAATGAAGCCATTTGGAACACACTGGGCGAAGGAAGTTATGAAAGACCATGTCATTTCCTCACTAGCTTCCCATGGAATGTTACCAGCAACAAAGATAGGAATAACTTATCATTGCTGTTAATATGATACAAATAAGTGTATAATGAAAATTTATACAACAAAATTTTAAAAACGCTTTGTTTGTGTGTGTTTCCAATCTGCTCTTAACTTTATAAGCATTAAACACATTTCTTAGCTATTAAACTTTTTTAAAGTTCACCCAAAAAGGAAAGTTCTGTTATCATTTACTCACCCTGATTTCGTTCCAAACCCGCAAGACTTTCGTTCATCTTCCGAACACCAATGAAGATATTTTTGATGAAATCTGAGAGCTTTCTGTCCCTCCATTGACAGCTACGCAACTACCACTTTAAAGCTTCAAAAAGTTCATAAAGAGATCATAAAACTAAATCTATATGAATTAAGCGGTTAGTCCAAATTTTCTGAACAGACTCAATTGCTTTATATGATGAACAGATTTAATTTAGGCTTTTACTCACATTTAAATATTGATCAGCGAACATAAACAAAAGCTCAACCGAGCCTGCTTGACGAGCCAGAAAAAACCTCATTGGTTCTTGTGAACGATCAAACGTGCTGGGTGACACGAGAATGAACCTCATTGGTTCTTGCTGAAGCTCAAACGTGTCGTGACACGAGAGTGAGTGATTAATGACAGTATTTAGAAATTTAGAAACTATCCCTTTAATATGAATTGCATGACGAAAATGTGTGTAATTTTCGCACAACAAAACAACTTGAATTATTCTGTTTATTCGTTAACTCCAACTCTCCCAACATATCTAGATTTAAAATGAATCGCGAGGACTTGTCTCCCTGGGTCACATGACCATGAATGATTAAATGACTTCCTTAAATGACTTCCTTGAAGTAACCATCGCATGATCCCTTGGCTAACGCACTTGTGGAAGGCCCCTTCATGCAGAGATTCAGCAACTTTCCTTTGGAAAGCCCTACAAATGGCGTCCCCTTCTCGAAGTACCCTTCAAGGGTGCAAAAACGCATTTTGGAATTTTCCCCGTAAAATCATGCGTAGAACACAAAACTGATGTGAGCATCTCCAGTGGAGAACAGTGACTGGATCTAAAACCTTCAGATGACACACAGCTCATATCTCCGTCGAGGTTACCGAAAATACACCGGTTCCGTTCACACAGCTCAGGTTTTACGAGAATGCGGTTGTGAGTTCTGAAAATTTACAGGTGTGAGTTTGGTGACAGGATGAGGTTGTCACTCCCGTAAATAACCGTAGCTGTGTGTGAATGTAACAGTATTAAAGCAACACTAAGTAAGATTTTTTACCTTAAAGGGTAACTAAACCCCTGGTCAGAGCCTGACTCCACCCACTGGCAATATTTGAAAAATGCTGGAAAAGTGGGCAGAGCCCAGCGGAGATAGAGGGGACGAACTGAGACCGCAGTGAGGGATTGATTGACAGCTGCTGTCAAACTCGCTAAAATGGAGACCGACTGGAGTGACGCAAGTAGCTTTGCAACAGAGCGGTCATTTGAAGTATTTTCTTCCCCACCTTCATCTGATTTTTCTGCTTTTTAAGAGGGCCAAATCTGAGGTGCGTGGTCATATTTTGGCTTTTACAAAAGTCCTGAGGGAAACTTAATCGATAATGGTCACCCTGTCTGCAGAACATGCACAAAAAAGTCGCTGCAATACACTTCAAAATGTTGTTTTGAGTTGAAATATTTTATCTCACTCACTTGAAATAAACGTGAAGCTTCCACGAAGAAAAGTTTGCATTAATGTTTTAAATCGTACCTGTTTATAAATCCTTTTTGTACAGCGTACAAAACAATCGTCCAGACAAGATGATCACAACAATATTATCAAACTCTGTAAACAATAAATTAACTCTGATTTTATTTTCAATACAATCAAAAACGGACGCAAGACGGCAAATTGTATTTGAATGAAACGAGAGAGCGCGTCCGCTGTGATGCATGGATTTGCACTGTGTTTATAATGCGTTGCTATTGACGACGGTCAGAAGGAAATGCCACAGTGGCACGAGAATCTTGCCTTAAAAAGTCCATAGAGCTGCTTGTTTTATTTGTTGTTTGTTGATTTTCAAATATAAAACTATCCTGGGGTGCGTTTCCCGAAAGCATCGTTAGCCAACTATGGTCGCAAGTTCCGTCGTTACCAATAGAGTTCAATGGGATTTGCGACCAACTTGCGACCATAGTTGGCTAACGATGCTTTCGGGAAACGCACCCCTGATCGTTTTCATTACTCGTAATTCCAACTCCTGACTCGCTACATTAGTTTTGACGGAACCAGATGCTTTTATACCAGGGGCTGCCAAGGGCGTGGTGAGCTCGCACCAAGGGCGTGACAGAGTTACGTCAGAGAGTATCCTACGTCAGAGAGTACCCCTACTGCAGGAGCTTTCCGTTTAACCTGAAGAGGGCAGCACTCATACGTTTTTACACCATATATTTGAAAATTAAAACACTTTATACCCAAATGTCAAAAAATGTACTCGAATCAAAGAACAGCATTTATGAAGCTCCATTCTTACAGATCATTAACTAAAAAAAGTTGTTTCAGTGTTTAGTTACCCTTTAAAATAATGTTTTCAAAATCGTTTCAGTGGTTCATCAAGTCTTGACATGGTGAAATGCACTTATGCCACCGCTTTTCGGTCCTTTATCTGATATATCCACGCCATGTAAGATTGCCAGATCGGGTCGCGTTTCTGTAGTCCGAATGAGACATAAGAAAACTACAAATTTGACTTGCTTTACGGCAAGCGTTACAATTGCCGATAGGTGGAGCGTACTCGACAGTAGACTACAACTACATGTAAGATACCTAGCAGCCGGGTAGCTTTTGAATTGTCATCATGATTCCAAAGCCGGTGCTGGATAAACAGAGAGCATGCGCATGCGACAGTAGGATGCGGTAGGCTAAATTATTTACGACAGCAGTAATGGACAATTCCGCTTCCAACCTGTAGAGCGACCGCAGAGGAAAAGTTACTTGGTGTTGCTTTAAGGACTAAAACACCTAGGACTGACAACCATGTTCTTCTGGTGTGTGAATGTGGCCTTAGTTACCTTGATCCTGTGGTTATTGGCGTTTCCTGTAGCTGATAAAAACTGTGGTATTTGGCTGTTTGTCGTAGCTCAGGCTCCATGGTCTTGGATACGTCATAGTAATGACCAAACCTCAATGAGGAGGCCAATGCAGTCTATAAAAAAAAGAAAGAAAAATTTATTTTCTAGTGGTTTATTTTAAAATACTATAAAATTGCTATTGATTAGTAAACATGTTGACCTGCAATTTTATTACACTGTAAAAAGTGATCAGTTGACTTTGAGGAAACCCGTTGCCTTAAAATTAAGTAAATAAACTTAAAATTAAGTAATATTGAATTGTCAAGTTCACATAACTGAATTTTTTTCAATTAAGCATTACGTTTATTTACTTCATAATTTTAAAGACAACTAAATTTAAGTAGGTAAACTGAACAGATTTTAGAGTGTAGGAACCCTCACTGATGTAAGTGACATGTTATTTTTATACTCTCTTTGCACCAATTTACAGCCATGTTTTTCCTCATTCATGATCATTTTCCACTGAAATCATTGTAAAGCATTTTAGGTGTACAATAGTACATAATAAAGTGCTATTTAACCATTCATACATTTAACGATTGTTGAACTGTAAGAAACCCAGATGATTCGTTAAGCCATTGAAAACATAATGACTCTCTGACAAGACTGACCACTTAGGCTTAGAAAAACTCAGTTGTACGCAGGCAGACGTATTCCTGAGGTTGTGAGGGGGTCTGGATTTTTTGGAGTTTCTAACGAGCCGTGAGGTGAGCCCCTAATCTTCGCCTGATCTGGATCAGCAACTCTTATGTGTTCCAGCACCACCTTCGAAAATTGACGGCTTGGCGCTCAACCTCGTTTAGTGGGCAGGTCGGGTCGACCCCTTTAAATGTTACGGGATGGGTTTTGACTGACTGAACTTTGATCTGGTGTCTCCATTGAGAACGGGAAACGAGGGGGACGCTCTATGTTTAGGATGCAAATCCCTTACTAGATTTACTGGTGCTTTGTGAAGAGGACAGAGGTATGATAAAGGTTAAGGAGGGTAAGTATCCCCTCTGAGACGGGGAGGAAGAACGGGTGATGGGGGAAAGAGGAAGGAGAGGATGAAATAAGACTGGAAATATCCAATGAGAAGCAGAGGGAAGAAAGTCAGGGAAGAGAAAGATAGATTGTACCTTATTCTTAAAAGTTTGTGGTTAGGACGATTTTTTCAATGTTTTTCAAAGAAGTCTCTTATGCTCATCAATGCTGCATGTATTATTGATAAAAAATACAGCAAAACATTTTATTACAATTTAAATGTATATTGAAATAGCAAACAGTTACTTTAAGATGTAATTTATTCATGTGATGTCAAAGCTGAATTTTCAGCATCGTTATCCTCCAGAAATCATTCTAATATGCTGATATGCATTTGGTGATTTAATTTTTCTAAGGAAACAGTGGTAGTTTTTTTTTTCCAGGATTCTTTGATGAATGGAAAGAATATCCAATGAGAAGGAGGGGGGGACAAAAGTTGTCAGAAAACACAGACAGAAAGAGTGAAATCTTTGGGGACTCACTGGTGTCCCCCTAATCTCCATAGCAATCTGGATTATGGGCTGGCGGGAGGGGTCTTTTCTCCGAACGGAAGAAAGAGGCGCACAGGGACGCCACGGCGAGGGCTGTGAAGGGATTTGGGGGTGCTGGAAGCTGCTGCTCCATTGTAAAAGGCTTGAGGCTGAATAGAACCTCCATGTCCTCCTGTCTCCTCGGGTTTTAAGTCCACCTATAACCAGCTAAGCGTGAGTAATCCACCTAAACTGTGAATGAGAACAGCGAAAGCCCATTCACAGTGCTGGGTGGGGAGGAATTGATATATTTATTATAGGACACTATTTTTCCCAACCCCCCTTTCCTTAGCCGGTGTAAAAGTAGCTGGTCGCAGGTTCGCAAAAATGAGTCACAGGTTCACACATGTTCTGATAGGGTTGCGGAAAGCAGGGATAAAACAATGCTAAATGTTAAATGCAAATAGGAAAATGCAACTAACTAACCATACAATCTTGCATTGGCAGAGTGGTAAAATAAAGAGGCTTGTCAATTTTTAAAAGGGAAGACAACATTCTTCACATTGCTTTGGTTGTTGATATTGAAGGTTGTGTGTCCAATCAAACTATTTGGCATTTTGGCATAAAAGCTACACAAATAAGACTATGCTATATGGACAGGTTGTGTGACAGCATTCATTCTCAAAAAAAAAAAAAAAAAAAAAAACATTATGAAAACTATGCAAAGAAAAAGAAACGAGACTTCTTCAAATCAGAATTGACAATGAAGAATAACATTGTGCCAACCATAATGCATTTTTACATTTTGAAAATTATAATGCATTTGCATGTATGTCAAGTCACCACTTGATGTCTAATGTGAACCTAAGCGAAACCAGTTGAGAACCTCTTCAATATAAATATAGGGGTGTCAATTTTAAACATAATTTTAGCAAATGCCATCTAATAGGGTTTTGTCAAATGTGGGTGGTTGATTTCTTCCCAACAGATCTTTTACCTGAACTCTGGGTTGGTTCTGGTAGCGCCAGGCGATTTTCATTGTGTCCGGATTCTCTGGGTCGCTCGGTTGAGGTTGACCCTCATTGGTTTTCAGGCTGGCAAATTCATCCATAATTGGAGAAGGGAGTTCCTATTTAAGAAAATAAATATAAAAAAAACAACATTAGTTAAAGTTACCATGAAATGAAAATAGACAATTCTTATTTCATTATGGAACATTACAGTATTTATTATTAATGATTTATCTGTGCACATCATAATATTTTTTTTTAATTCACATGTCCTCTAATCTTTAATTGAAATAACGTCCCCTCCCTCTTGCAGTGGCATGATATTACTGGTGCGAGGGCGGGACAACCTGTCACTCACATGAGATCGACCAATAGCAAACCACAACCATCCAATCAATTCCTAATGGACAGAATCAAGTCCTACCCATTTATTTTTCTCTTTGAAAAATGCATATATTTTAGACACAAAGAACATGAAAAAGCAAAAAATAAAAATCCACTATAGCGGACTCCTAAAATGTTTATCCTATTTTACATTTGACAAATGCGATCCGAATATGGCAAGAGACATCTTGTTCCTGACCTTAAAAGGTTTATAGAGGGATTTAAAACTGAAACAATTTTTATCCCATTTTAAAAAAATAGCATTAATCAACCAGTTCATTAACTAAATTGCTACATATTTTTATATTTGACTAATCAAATATTGTATCTATTTTACACTGTATCTAGATAGACTAAAGCTCGTTTAAGGCACTGTCTTGGCCAGAGCTCGCCTGTGAAAAGGGAAATAAATGTCAAGTGACCCGTTTTAACAAGGCCAAAAGTATGAACAAACACATCAAAATTGTGCAAGCACTTCAGAAGCTGTTGTTTAAACAACATGGTTGATACTGTCGTTAATGCCAAAAAATGCCAAAATGAAGGTGGGAACCGTCTCCCTTAGGGGAAAATTCATACAGACACTGCAATAACAAAAAACAGAGACTGTTTCACAAATAACAGCTCAATGCAGGAACAGTCTGAAGGGCAACAACAGGCCCTCATTAAGCTTGTGTTAACTGGGGGCCAATCAGGGGCCAGCGAGAGTGGAACTCCTGTCCACTGTCATTAAGGTGAGACTCGTTAACGTTCACAGGTAACTCCCTGAGCTCCCACACCAAAACATTCATGTATCAGTCTGGGAAAGCTTACATGGGGAAGGAGATGAGAGAGAAAACACTGCCTATGCTTGGAATGGAATATTAGTGCACTGCCTAAAGCACACAGTACACTAGACATTGAGAACAGCCTAGCATGCTTTTTTTCTTGAAACAGTATGAACTATATAAAAGACAACTATATAAATTAAAAAAATACATAGTAAGAATATGTGGCAACAAATAAAATAAAAATAAAATAAAAGTCTGATCAAATAGTGAAGAAAATATGCAAATAATGTTAAAATAAGACTAAATAAAAACTAAAATAAATAAAACATTTGATCAAATTATAAAGCAAGAAAAGATGTGAATTATGGCAAAATAAAACAAATTAAAAAATAATAATAATAAAAATGTCTGATATCTTAAAAAAAAAAAAAAACAGTGAATTAAATATCTGAAGATGTCAATGAAGTCAAAATATAATATTATAAAATGTCTGATCAAATAATGAAGCAAGAAAAAAACGTAAAAAAAAAAAACCCTCAAACAGTAGTGTGTTGGCGCTTGCAACGCCAAGGTCATGGGTTCGATTCCCAGGGAAAGCAAGAACTGATAAGAATGTAAAATGTGTACATTGAAATGCAATGTAAGTCGCTTTGGAAACAAGTGTCTGCCAAATGCATAAATGTAAAATGTAAATGTATGCAGAGTGCAGACTATACATCCAATATACACAGCAAAAATAATAGTCTGATATTCTATTCCAAACACACCCAATAACAAAAGTTATTTTGTTATTGTTATTTTGCCACAGGGAGGCAGCCGTTTCAAAGAGTCCATAGACCAAAAGTAGATACATAAATTAGACTATGCCAGAGTCATAATAACACATACAGACACGGTGTCATGTTCAGTCAAACTGTTCCCGGCCAAAGCTGGGAATAATATTTTACTGCAAAAGACACACAGATTTCTCAAGGTTTATTGTTTTGAGTTATACAAGGAGAATACGATTGTAAATAATGCATTTTGATGTACTTAGACTTCACAGAACCAAAAAACTTGACCAAAGTGTCAAAGGGGCCGAGTGCGAACACTTGATTTGATTCTTACCTGCATGATCTCATCAGGGTGATCTCGGGCGGATGCCAGGAAGAGTTCATGTCCGCACACAACTCCCTCCGCCAGGAAGTACTTGAGCAGCATGCGGGAGTAGCTGTCATAGCGGTCCTCTTCTGTGAACAGAAATCACCATCAATGCCACATACATCAACCCAAACTGCACCAAAACAAAGAGCGGTGAGCCTCATGACGTGCGTCATGACAAAAGAATGGCCAGAGAGTCACCATCGGATCACATACTGTAAATATCCCAACATGGAGAACAAAAACAACACTAAACTTGGTTGAAATAATAGAACAACTGTTTATTCTGGTTGCTATTGATGGCAAACACACTAGCCACTTTATCTTAGATGCCGAATGGGACGTCTGACATGGGATCAGAGGCCAGTATGATTGTAATGGATTTAATGGTCAGTCCATCAGCACCTACACCATACATGAAAGGTATGAATATGACATGTTATATCTCCTGTAGCTGAAATGTACTTATATTTCTGTTACAAAACAGAAGTGAGGAAAAAGAGAAGGGAACAGCTGTCTCGATCTATCTACAAGCTCTTCAACACTATACTTTATCCTCAACCTTGTGATGATGAAATCTCCATCAAATACAGCTATACAGACAAACATTGGCTAAATTAGATTCTGTTGATACTAGTTCTTCTGAGGTACTGAGATAAACACTTTCACAGCTGCAGACATGTTTCATTTTCTTAGTGAGAAGAAAATCTATTACTGTTACATTTACATTATTACACGTGTACATATTAGTACCCTGAAAGCACCAAGAAGGTCTATAATATCTGAAGAAAGTTATTTGTTAGCATTTCCAATTTCTTCCAGTGGCAGTTGCTTGTGGGGCAATAATCAATCACTCTCATCTAAAACATCTATTCTGTCTCAACTGAATAATTGTAAAGTCCAAATACATTTTAGCAAGCTGGTTTGTTTGGACGGTTCAAAATTAATCAGTTCAAAAATTATTCACTGGGATTTTATGTAAATATTTTTCATAGCAAAGCAATATACTGTATAATATACTATTATACTATAAAAATTATCTAAAATAAAATACTATATATATAGTATAATAGAATATTATATAAATAATAGAAAAATAAATGTCAGAAAAAAATTCTGCTCCAACTGAAAATAAAAATATTATATTATGTAAATTACATAAATGTTATCTGTTAAACTACCTTTCAAAAGTTTGAAGTTTGTCTAAGAATCTAAACATTTTTTTAAAGAACCCTATCATGCTCAGCAAGGCTGAATTCATTTGATCAAAATGCAGTAAAACCTTTAATATTATGAAGTAGTATTACAATTTAAAATAAATTAAATTAAAAACTTCCATTTATTTATTCATTTTATTTTTAAATGTAATTTATTCCTGTGATGCAAAGCTGCATTTTCAGCATCATTACTCCAGTCTTCAGTGTCACATGATCCTTCAGAAATCATTCTAATAGGATGATTTGCTGCTCAAGAAACATTTATTTTGTTTCCAATGTTTAAAACAGTTGTGCAGCCTATTTTGTGGAAACAGAAAAAACTTTTTTTTTTGCCATTATTCTGAATGAATAGAAAGTTAACAAGAACAGCATTTATTTGAAATTGTCACAAAAAAATCGTTACTGTCCCATTTGATCAACTTAATGTATCCTTGCTGAAATAAAAAGTAATAATCTGTTTTAAAAAGGTTTGGACCTCTGAACAACAGAGTGTATGTTTTTTATGTTTTATTATTTTTTATTGTAAATTAACTTTCAAATCAGCTTCCCAATTTGTAGTGCTGACATAAAATAAAATTAAAAAAAGTTTAGGTTATAATAGAAAAATTTGGTGGCAAAATGGTTTTGACCATATCTGACTGGTCAACAATGTATTGGCTTACACAGTATATATTTTACAACATTTCTTTTTAAATACACATTTACATCACTTTGCACTACCCCCGTTAATCTGACTTCCTGTAATAGCGCTAAGCAATGGTCCTCTAAGAAACACTGACAGTCTGCTTCTTCCTCTCTAACTCACACTTCCAGTTTCAACCTTCCATTCTCTCTAACAAACACCCTCAAACCCACACAAGTCTAAAGCCTGTGTGTGACCTCTGAAGGATTCCTCCAACAGCAGGAGAGAATGAGGGGTTTCCTGTCCTCTTCCCGACTCTTCCTACAAACCGGGATGCCTCTCATATTCCATCACCAACGGAAGAAAAAAAAAATTCCTCAGCTCTTCAATTTGTCATCGGAAGAACTCCCCTCTTTCTTATTGATGTGTTTCTAGGTCAGCAGGCCTTTGTGGCTTTCAGCGGCCCCGACAAAGACACCCAGATGGGCCCACTCGAGATGGGGCCTATTGTGGTGGCGTTTCTATGGCGCCTTACAAATGAAACCTGCGGGTGCTATTAGCCTAGCGGGGGTGTTTCGGGGGCAGAATGAGATGTGTTGGGGGTGCATATATCTCTGCTGTAGAGACTCTGGCACATATCCGTCACCCAAAAGGTGGGGCATCTAGAGACTTCCTATCTTTTCTGATGCAGAGAGAAGCCGCCTCTTTTGGTGAAAGAATAATGCAAGTCGTGCTTTAAGCATGTGTGTGTAAGGCAGTGGGAGTCTGTGAGTGTGAGTCAGTCACTCAAAGCTGCAGGGGAAATTTGGGTCAACACTTCTGCCCTCCTGCCTCCATATGTTTGCCGTCTGAGTCCCACTGATTCACAGTGGAACCGGTAATACAAATCTAGATTAAATGCGCAACCTCTGGGGACACATCTACCATCGATATCCGATTTATTTACTTTAATTACCTTTGCATCAAATAATAACAGATCAGTTTGACTCTACATAAATAGCTTACAAATTGGACCCTAACCTAAAAGGTGAAGTGTTTATATTTCACTATTAAAATACTTTCTTAAAGGGATAGTTCCCCCCAAAATAAAATGTCATCATTTACTCATCCTCATGTTGTTCCAAACCTGTATGAGTTTCTTTCTTCTGTTAACCACAAAAGATGATATTTTAAAGAATGTTGATAACCAGACAGTTGATGGCACCCATTGACTTCCATAGTATTTTTTTTTTTCCTACTATGGAAGTCAATGGGTGCCATCAACTGTCTGGTTATCAATATTCTTCAAAATATCTTCTGTGTTCAATAGAAGAAAGAAACTCATACAGGTTTGGAACAACTTGAGGGTGAGTAAATGACAGAATTTTTAGGTGAACTAACCTTTTAATACGCATAAGGCACACTGAAATATTTCTGTTTTTTTATTTCTGCATCCCAACACAGCAACACTGGCTAAACCAATTGTGCACTTTTGGGGCAGAACTATCTATAACCAACCAATGGCAGGTCGGATGAGTGTTCAAATTAAATTATTTTTTACCATTTAGTTTGGTGCAACTTGTAATGCAAAAATTACACACTTCACCTTTGTTAACATCTGAAAGAAAGAAAGAAAATGAAATACATTTATTTTACATAATTTGTTGTATAATAGATAAAGTAGACCATACCATTTAGGCAGATCATTTCCTTCTATCATCTCTCTCTCACACACACAACAGTGGTATCTTTCATGTGGGTCACATGTTGAGGACGCAAGTGACCTAGACAGGACTCGATAGATCATAAAGGACCATGACCAATCCACTTCCAATGAAGTGAAAAAAGGACAAAAGAATGCAAAGAATAGAAATTAGGATCTAAAGATATAAGATCCTCATGAATATATGTTTTGAAATTAATAAGCTACATCAAAAGAAATAATTATTCAATGAAAAAAAACACGATATGCTGGTCGTATAGTGCAAAGCAAATAGTGGCAACTTTTCAGTATGTCAACAGTATGTCAAAATAAATAAATGAATAATACGAATAAATGTCAAAATAAATAAATGAATAATACGGAAGAGGAGCAACAGAAAGACCCTCAATTTTGAATCTGTCAAACTACTCTAAACTGCTGTAAAATCACCATGAATTACATTTTTATATTTTATGGGGTTTATTATAAATTATTTATCTGTGGACATCATTATTTTTTTTTTTATTCATGTGCCCTCATAATCTTTACTCAAAATAACTTCCCCTCCCTCTTGCAGCGACATCTCTTCTCTTCTCTGATGACGTGTTTACTGGCATGAATGCGGGACAACCTGTCACTCACATGAGATCCAATAGCAAACCACCATCCAATCAGTTACCAATGGACAAAATCAAGTCCCGCCCCCTACATTTTTTCTTGTTCAAAAATCCAGGATATACATCCAAATAGGGAAGAAAAGACTTGCAACTTCTATCGCAAGGTTTCATTGCCGACTTAAAAAAAAACAGTCTGCAATCAGAGGTATCATCATATCTAATGAGCTATCAGCCTACTGATCCTTACATTTGTAGTTTCATAAGCAACTAAACACACACTATTTGCACTTTATGTTAAATTCCATTGGCTTTGTATTGTACTCTGCAACATGAAAAGATGAATCTACATCTAAATAATGAAAACATTATTTTTAATAATCCTTGTCCACTAGCCATTATGACATGCAAAGCAGTGGCTAAGTGAAAAAATATAGCCAGAAATAAGAATATCTTAACCTATTGACATGACGTGACATGATAGTATAAATAAATTGCTTCATTGCTTACCTACAAGTAGAAGAGTCCCAACTGCCAGACCACCACCTATGGAAAAAAAAGTGTACATTTTAATGACATAAAATAATAAAATGTTTTTATATCCATAGCTTAATCAGAAAGGCTCAAATACACCTACATTGAAATAAATGTATTCTTTTGCATATTATACCAGCTAGTATTTAGCATTACGTGCGTCCACACACACAGACAGACACACAAACACATGTCTGGTTCGCTATCTTTGTGGGGACTCTCTATAGACGTAATACTGTACAAACTGTATATTCTGTCCCTTCACACTAACCCTACCCCTAAACCTATACTCATCACACAAAACTTTCTGCATTTTTACATTTTCAAAAAATATATAATTTAGTATGTTTATTAACCCATTTCCCTTGTGGGGACCGCTGGCTGGTCCCCACAATGTAGGTGATCTCAGGTTTTACTATGCTTGTGGGGACATTTGGTCTTTTTATTCATCAAAGAATCCTGAAAAAACTATTACAGGTTATAAAAAAAAATATTAAGCACCACAACTTTTACAACATTGATAATAAATCAGCATATTAGAATGATTTCTGAAGGACCATGTAACACTGAAAACTGGAGCAATGGCTGAAGAAAATTCAGCTTTGCATCACAGAAATAAATTATATTTTAAAGTATATTAAAATAGAAAACCATTATTTTAAATCGTAATAATATTTCACAATATTACTGTTTCTTCTGTATTTGTGTATATATATATATATATATATATATATATATATATATATGTATATGTGTGTGTGTATGTGTGTGTATATAAACATAACCCTTTTTCTGTCGTTTTTTTATACATGCCAAGATCAGGTAATCATAATCAACACACAATACAAAAATATTTCATATAATACAATAAAATGTCATATAATGCAAAGATTATACGCGTAATAAAGTGAAGACTACCCTGATATTTTGATTGATGGGATTAGGGCATTTCTCGTTTAAAACAGACAGTGTGTGACAGTAGTGAAAACAAAAGTGTATTAATGCTGAATTATTTCTGGATTTATTTTATATATATTAAGACGATAGAGAGGCATGTCAAAAATTAATTAAGTCCACTTGACAGTGAGCTCAAACCGAGTGAATTATACTAACCAATAACGTAGTCAAGCGAGCTGACGCCAGATGACAGTAAGAGTTGTCCGTTCTGTACAGACGGTCTGGTCCCAGGGATAGAAACGAGTTTGCTGCGGGTTTTTTTCTGAAAACTAGTTGTGTTGCCTATGCTGGAGGATCCAGCCATGCATCTAACGGGAGCCGCCATGTTTTTTCTGTTGACAGCAACGCCGATGACTCTACAGCCAATCAGCGAACGAATTGTTGTGTTCTTAGCCAATCAGAAAGAGACTTGGTTAACGACGATGACGCAATGGAGTTCAAGGTTGACTGCAGCTGCGTAGTGAACATATGATCAAGGAATACAAACAGCACGCTGTCAATGGGCACGAACCAGGTAGGATTACTGTACAAATTACTATAGTGTTTATTATAATTCCATCACACATGACATTACTGCTGTAGATAATATTTATGCCATCGATGTTTCAAAACTGACAGCTATCTGAGCTGTAACCCAAAAACCTTACGTCCCTTGTACTTTAGACAAGAAATGTTGTAAGCAGTTCATCACCGGTGACTGTAAAAGCTGAAGCTTCCGTTGCAACGGTATATTTATTGATGAATTAATTGCACAATGAATCAAGATGCATGCTTGCATACGTGTCAGAATCAGAATAAAGAACCATTTTTACTATTATATTTTTAATAGTATGTATCGCACATATTTATAATATATATTATTTTAATGAATTTCTGTTCTTTTGAACCTTCTGTTCTATTCAATACCACAACTGTTTTCAACATTGATCATAATAAGAAATGTTTCCTGCGCAGCAAATCAGCATATTAGAATGATTTCTGAAGGATCATGTGACACTGAAGACTGGAGTAATGATGCTGATAAAGGGATACATTACATTTTAAAACATAAAAAAAATTATTAAAAAAATATAGCCTACTGTATTCAATTTTAATATTTCACAATATTGCTGTTTTACTGTATTTCTCATCAAATAAATTCAGCCTTGGTGAGAAAATACATCTTACTGACCCCAAACATTACATATATACACACACACACACACACACACACACACTCACATACGTACATTACACACACACCGACCCAATACACAATTTCCACCCAACACACACACAATACACAATTCCCTGCATTGCTGTGGTAGTTTTTACATAATAAATTAGACACAAATCAGTATTTAACATCCATATAATAACCGTGGTATTATCCATCATAAAAGTGGGTGTCTTATCATTAATAATATCATTTCTAATTTCTGTACATAAAAATGCTACATCTCCACTAGACAGGACCATAGTGTAGCGGTGCTCTTTTTAGTTTGTCCAGATGCTGCTATCGCTTATGTTATTTTTATTATGTCAGCTTTATCAACTCATATCTGATTGTTCCACACAGTGCTAATGCTAACAGTCATAACATGTCAAATGTTTCCTGAGCAGCTTGTTTGGGTTTCCCCAATGTGATTCTCTTTGCTACCACAATCTGAGGTTAAGAATATAGTGGCATTGCTCAGAAGGGAAGTTAGATTGTCATCTGCGGAGGGTTTGTATGCGTTAGTGTTGAAAGGAAAGCAATAATCTTGGATGCCAGGACAATTATAGGGTTGTGGTAACTATTATTTGTGACCCACAGGAAGGTCATTTTATTCTCTCCTTCAAAAACTGCAAAATCTGATTTTTTTTTCCAATACGAAATAAAGGATATCTATCCTGTAAAAACAAAGCAGGCTAATTGGTAGGGATGGGCATTTAAATGAATAGAGAATTGTAAGGTTTCTCTTTTTCCCGCAACAGAAGGCCTAACTTGGCACATCTGATAAGATCTGTTTGCCTTTCAGCTCCATCTTGGGTTCAGGCTGCAGTCAAAGGTCATTTTAATAAAGATTAGTCTTTTTATGTCACGTCATTGTTACAGAACTAGCCCAGCATCCTTTGAAATTGCTTCGCTTTTGTTCATATTTACGGGGATTGACTCTGTAATTGGCTTTATTCATTATCTGCCTTTTAAAATTCATTTGATCTCCATTGGACTGTTGTAAAAATGACGTGATTGAGGGAGGTTTCCTTTATGTCATGCGTGCTGACATCTGTCCTCCATCAACCAGCAACCAGGTGTCACCGTCCCAGCTCCATCCACCAGCCTCTTTTTGATAGTTGCACCGATAGCTTCCCGATTACCAAATCTCAAAGTTCTCCGATCCATTGAGAACAAAGAGAGCAGTGCGAGGCAGGCCACCCTCAGCTGCCTTCTGCCACACAGATCGAGAACATCAGTGTTCCCCCCTCCTCATCTTCCTTCCATCTGGGTTCTCGGGGGAACGCCATCTTAGTTAACACTATTCGAATCTATGTAATCTTCTTAAGTCCCACAGAAGCTCCCAAAGTCGAGCTCCTCATGTATGTCTAAATTCAGATGGGCTGTGATAAGAAGCTGTGAAGCAAGCCTTGAGATTGGATTCCTCACTTTTTTTTCTACTGATTTCACACCATACGCTGTCCTTCCAAATAATATTTTAAAGTTTTAAGATTTTAAACATTAAACAATTCGTTTAAAAATCTATCTTAGGCATGTTAGTATCTTCACCAAAAAAAAAAGGTTTTAAGCCAGTTATTTATAGGCTATCTTTTGCTGTAGTGTGTCAGTAGGTAATATCAGTTTATATTTCCAACCATTAATTTTTCCATTAATTGTAATAATCCAGTGAGATTTTTGTATGCACAAGGAGTCTGGCAACTGCCGGTGCTCCACATGGAGATCTGATCTCACCATCATCGAGTCTGTCTGTGATTACATGAAGAACCAGAAAGAAACTGAGACATATTAAATCCAGAAGGTCTCCAAGATGCTTGAAGAAACCTACCAACAAAGATACCTGAAAACTATGTGCAAGTGTACCTGGACAAAAGCTGTTTTAAACGCAATGGGTGGTCACATATTAATTTGATTTAGCTAATAGAAGTAGGCCTAATACACAAGTGCCTAAAACCTTTTCACAGTATACTGTAGCTTTGCAGGTAGGTTTCTTCAAGCATCCTGGAGATGTTGGAAGTTCTTCTGCCTCAGTTTTCTGATTCTTCATGTAATCCCAGATGGACTCGATGATGGTGAGATCAGATCTCCGTGTGGAGCACCGGCTGTTGTCCGACTCCTTGAGCATACAAAAATCTCACTGGATTATTACAATTAAAGGGTTAGTTCACCCAAAAAAGAAAATTCTGTCAGTAATTCACCCTCATGCTGTTCCAACGCCGTAAGACTTTCGTTCATCTTCGGAACACAAATTAAGATATTTTTGATGAAATCTGAGAGCTGTCTCACTCCTTCATAGGCTGATAGGTAATTTCATCTGCCAGCCCAGAAAAGTTAGTAAAGAAAGACATCGTTAAAATAGTCCAAATGACTACAGTGGCTCAACCTTAAGTTTATCAAGTGACGAGAATACTTTTTGTGCGAAAAACAAAACAAAAATAACGACTTTATTCAACTACTCATTTTCTTCCGTGTGGGCCTCTGACGTGAGTTCACGAGAGCGACACGACGCATGCGTGAGAACTGAGAAGATGATGCAGATGGGTCTCGATGATGTAGCGTTTAAAAAGGTTCTAAAGTGTGCATTTCCTGGATGTCCGAATCGTGAGAAACCATAGACAGTATATAAGAAGTGGACAGAGCCATGTCATTGGAACTCAGTTGAGACAGTTGAAGCCCATTTTTAGCGATTTTTGAGCACTTCCGTTCCTGACGCGCAGACTCAAACCGACTCAAACTAAGCTTGATGACGTGAGCAACCTGTCTGACAGACGTAAATCTTCTAGTAGCTGTGCGTGAAAATTGCCAACGTTAATCTTGCAGAGACGGGGAACTTGAGCAAAGAGTTCTTTGGCGTGAGTGAGCAGGAGTAAGTATTCCGTTGCTTTTATGGACTCATTATCTATGGGCTTCTCCCTTGACGGGACGTCCCCCGATTGCTTGCGAGCTTCTCCTCCTGTCTGTACGGTAATTTCTGTACAGCGCGACAGAGAGTCGAGTGGTTATGATGCAATCGTTAGCCTATTTTTACAAAAACTGTTTCTACAGGCCCATAATGTAACATAGAAGGTAATGGAGCCCTTTATACATTGTCATGTTTCTTTAGAAATAAATAATGGACAAATGGAGTCTTTAAACGCCTCAGATGTAAAGTTATTCGCTGTCAAAGTGACGCCAAAATGAATGGGAGTCAATGGAAATGCTAACGCAAGTGAAGTTCTGCTACAAGATGGCGGCACCCGGCCGGCTTCAACTTCCGGTCGATGGATTACCCCCTTGTGAGAAACCAACGAGAAAACTTAAAACTGCCTTACCAATGCCGCAAAATGAATGGCTTCCCTTTCACACTTTCCCATCAAATGATCGTGAGCGTCATCTTCTCAGTTCTCGCACATGCGTCGTGGCGCTCTCGTGAACTCACGGTTTTGCGCACAAAAAGTATTCTCGTCGCTTGATAAACTTAAGGTTGAGCCACTGTAGTCACTTGGACTATTTTAACGATGTCTTTAAGCTTTCTGGGCCGGCAGATGAAATTACCTAGCAGTCTATGAAGGAGTGAGACTGACAGCTCTCAGATTTCATCAAACATATCTTAATTTGTGTTGATGAACGAAAGTCTTACAGAGTTGGAACAACATGATGGTAATTACTGACAGAATTTTCATTTTGGGTGAACTAACCCTTTAATGGCAATAGGAATGCTTGGAAATGTAAACTTATATATCAATGTTAGGCTAATTGTTTTTTGCTATGTATGGGAGCTATTTTCTGTCAATGCACTAGTAAATGACTATTCCTGTACCAATTTTTCTTGTAATCATTTTAGTTCTGAATGTCCGGCAATCATGAACAATGGCGCTCAAAAATACAGCACTGCATCGTTTCCACTGTCACCTGGGCAGCTGGGCTGCTGTTTATTTTCTTTGCTATTTCAGGAGGTCAGCGGAGTGTAAGCACATTAGATGGTGGCATGGAGTCATAGTGACCTTTACACAAGTGTGACATCAGTCTCAATGCCTGAATTGGTGTTTGCACACTTTGCTTTTATACTGCACTGTAATTGACTCTTAAAGAGAAATCTTTGACTTTTACTGCAAATTTTTGAAACGTGTGCCTCCAAATGATATCAGCTGAGAGGGTTTTAAAACGCAGTTGATTTTCCAAAGTAGTACATTTATGCATAATATACTGATAGTGTACTGGTGGTGTAATTGTATTATTTTGGAAAATCAAATATCTTAAAGATACAATATGTAATTTTTTCCGCCTCTAGGGGTCGCTTAACCTCAATAACAAAGTCGTAGGTTGATGACGCAAAATTC